TCCTGAGCCAGGCCTGGGCAGTGCCCCCAAGACGGGCCGAGACCCGGTATTGGCCATGGGCAGTTCTGGGCCCGTGGCAGCCAGCTGGAGTGCGGGAGAGCCCCCAGCCCTGCCCCCTACCCGCAGCCAGGGGGCTCCCGGCCGGCAGGGCGAACAGCAGGGTTCTCGGGTCCCGGAGACCCAGCTCAGCACAGACCAGGAGCAGCCAGGGCAGCCCAGCCCAGGGAGAGGGGCCCAGGGCCAGGCCTCGCTCCAGTCCTGCACCCCCAAGCCTGATCCCAGCCCCCCAACCTTTGTCCTTCTGCCAGGCAAAATGTGACACCTGGCAGCACCCCCTCCCGACTGTGTGGGAGGCTATGCCACCCGGAATGCCCATCAGGCATTGGTGCAGTTGTGACGGCGCGTTGGGGGTCCTCCGTCTCCTGCACCCCGAAATGGCACAAACAGACTCCACCAGCCAGTAGAATAGAGGTGGTTTATTGCTCCTCCAGGATACAGCACAGCACAGATGTCATCTGGTTACAGGAACTGGGGCTAAGAGGCCTCACTGCCCCCCCTTGAGATGGGGGGATCCCAGCCCCCTCCCCAGTTCCTTCTTCCCTGCTTTCCAGCCAGGAACTAACTCCCTCTCCTCCAGCCCTGCCCCCCAGCCAGGGCAGCATCCACCTTCCTTTGTTCCTCTCCATGGGGGTCAGCTGGCCAAACCAGTTGGGATACCCTCTTTGCATAGTGACTCATCGCTTGTCTGCTCGGTGGTGCTACAGACAGCAGCCAGAGAGTTAGCAGGTTCCCCCCCACTACGTCACAGCAGTACCCAGGGAAACTGAGGCACGCACCCAGGGTTACTATAGGACAGTAGCACTCCCCTGCAACATAACAAGGTGGGTAAAATCCCCACTTCCTCCCCCGACTGCCCAGACCTCATGGCCTTTGCTTCTCCCCCGCAGAGCCGGCCATCCCTGCCAACGTCACCGCCCTGCGCGTCTCCAGCATCTCCCCGGCGAGCGGCACGGCCCTGCTGCACCTGCAGCCCCTCCCCGGGCTCCACGGACCCATCAGGTACCCACGGCCCAGGCAGGCACATGGCCCCTGCCCCGGAAACCCCCGGGAGTCAGGGCGAGCTCTGTGCAGGCAAAGCCTCATTGGCACCGCACATGCCCCTGCCGGTGGGGCACCTGGACACCCTGGCGTGCCCCCCCTCACTGCCAGGCCTCCTGGACACCATGGCCTGCCCCACACTCCACCGGCAGCAGACATGAGGCTGGAGGGGGCCCGGCGCCATTGCTGTTCATTGCCATGTGTCACAGAGCGCCCAAGGGGGCACATTCCACGGGGAATGGGGAGCCGAGGCAGCTTCCCCCACGGAGCATCCAGCTAAACACCCTGTGACGGCGCGTTGGGGTTTTCCTGTCTCCTGCACCCCCGTAGTGGCACGGACAGACTCCACCCGCCAGTAGAATAGAAGGAGTTTATTGCTTCTCCAGGATACAGCACAGCACAGATACAATCTGGTTACAAGAACGGGGGCTAGGAGGCCTCAGGACCCCCCTTGAGATGGGGGGTGTCTGGGCCCTACAAATCCAGCCCCCTCTCTAGCCCCTTCTGCCCTGCTTCCCAGACAGAAACACTCCCCTTCTTCTCATTGATCCGCTCCCTGGGAGATCACTGGTCCGACAGGTTCGAAGCCCCCTTGCATAATGACTCATCCCCTGCCCTGCTGGGCCGTGCTGCAGACAGCCGCCAGTGGAGGTCATCCACAGCCCACTGCCCAGCATAGCAACCGGCAAGGTACCCCCACTATGTCACACGCCCCCCCCCGCTCCAGTCCTGCAGTGCTGGTGGGGGGCAGGGGGACGGCCACGTGGGGGGGACTTTGTTCTCAACCTCTGTCCAGCATGTGGATAAACAACCAGGTGTGGGCTCTGTGTTCACTGGATGGCCCATCACTGCACAGCCCCCTCTGGCTGACCCCTCCCTGTCCTGGGCAGATCTCATGTCCCCTCAGCCCCTCTGGCTGACCCCTTCCCTTGCAGGGAGTATCAGATCATTGTGTCCGCGACGCAGAACGACAGCCAAGCAGACGCCTGCCCCTCAGTGGCACTGCCACCGTTGGCCTCCAGCGCGGCGCACGACACGTACCTGGCTGCTGTGCTCCCCACACACAACCTCACGGGCCCCATGGACTTTGTGCTGGGCGATGGGGCCCAACAGCACGGCTACTAAAAAGCCCCACCGCGG